TGCCGGCTGGGCTTAAACCACGACAGCATATTATGAGATGAATTTAAGGCTAGGACAGTATGGGTTCATGTTTGCTTCCCACTAGTTAAAACCAAGATGATAGTATGCTTCTGTGAACTTAGGCTCAATGTATCAGAATTTAACAGAACTATTGCTGTGTTTTGCTTCAGGGTACTTGGAGAAGGGGGAGTGGAAAAAAAACCAACCAACCAAATCACAGTGTGGGTTGTAGTCTAGATGATAAGCAGTTTGGTGTATATGAGGAGCCTGCTCTGGGGCTGAACTTTGTGCCCTGGAAGAGTAGGACCTAGGATTTTGGGTGGGTTGAGGTAGGTGAAGTCAAATAGGCTATAGGTGATAATGTGTCTCCGAGTTTCAGGTGACTGGCATGACCTACTTTTCAGAAGATTTTGGTTTGAGGTGTTGTGGTGTTTTTTTGGTTTTTTGTTTTTGGGTTTGTTTGTTTGTTTGTTTTGTTTTGGTTTTTTTTTTTTGTGGTTGGTTGGTTTGTTTGTTTTATGTGGGAGGTTTTTTTGGTTTTTGTTTTTTGTAGTTGTTGTGTTCTGGTTTGGGCTTCTGTTGTTTTGTGAGTTGTTTTTTGGATTTTTCTTTTGCTAAGGTATACTTCTTATGAGGGTTAAGCAACACATTGGGTTCTTTCACTACATATTTTATCTTATAGGTAGGCACAAAATAAACTGATTTCCCTAATCTTTTGAAATTCAGTGAGCTATTAATTAAGCCCATGGCATTGTCACAGGCTTGCTTGCTATGTCAAGTTAATTGCAGACTTAAATAGTAGCAAAGCTTGAGTTTTAGCTTGATGAGGTGTTTATTGCTTTAAGTCCTGTTATGTAAGTTTACCAATGATAATCTTGTTAGGTTTTTTGGAGTGTGAGTGACACTAAGTGCTTGAGTGACTTTATTTGCTGATGGAGGGGCATTGAGAATGCTTAATTGAGCATTGTGTTGTTTTTAGATGTAGAAAAGATTACCTTCAGAATTGGAATTTTTGAGTGCAATGCTGCTAGGCCACTGTATTGGCAGCTTTAAGCATAATTCTTGCTGAATTTAAAGGTCCAGTATTTTTGTAGACTAAAGCAACAAATGTGAGCTACTGCCAAAGAAGAGTAAACTACTCTATAAAGATTTCAGTGAAGAATAAGCTCTTTTTATGTCTGAATCTGGAAAGCCTAGAAATGAAGTAGCCTGTGTATCAAATCATGCATTTAATAGAGGAGGAACATGCTTCTGTGTCCTTTTAGGAATTCTCTGAACTTTAGTAAACAAATGATGGTGTGATTTAAGTTTCTCTGCAATGTACTACATGCTGCCGTTGAAACAAACTTCTAATTGATTTTTTTTTTCATTTTAGTAATAATTGAATCACTGAGAGGCCTACCTCCAGTAAATGAGGAAAGCATTATATTTAAAGAAGATCGGCAAGCAGCAGGAAAGGTGTGTGTGAAGTATAAAAATGTTATTTTAATATAAAATTAAAAGTATTTTTTAATGTTCCAACAAGTAGTGTTGAAATCAACTAAATTAAAGATGCTTCCTTGATATGTAGTTTTTCCTCGTGCTTTCAACTTGCTATAGGCATCTGGGGGTTTTTTAATCTCAAGAATTCCTAGCCTGGAATTCATTTCATCCTTATGGCATTACAATATGTGATGAGTTTCAGCTCATGAGAGTGCTTGTGGAGAAGGAGGTTGCTTTCAGCTGTATGGTGGCTGTGCTCATTTATTGCCAGGAGTGGGAGCAAAGATTGGAGAAATTAGAGTTGTTTCAGGAAAAATGGGGAGTATTTACATATGTAAGCTCTGCTGCTCCATTATAAGGCCAGTGTTTGTTTTATGGAAGTATAATGAAGATGTTTGCTGAGAGGGGTATTTCATTGAATTTTGTATGTTTTCTGGAGAAGGAAAGCTGTCATCTATAATGGTTACTACTATAATATCTTTGAATGCTCGATGTGAGTGAAACAAAAACTCAGCCTGAAATTACAGATGTTCTGTACAACATCTTAGAATTCTCTGTTCCCCACAGAGTTGGGGAACAGACAGGGGAACTGACATAAAGGCATCTTGTAAAGGTGAACTTTGAGGAATAAATGATCAGGAGATTGTTCTCAGTGTAAGAGATCTGAAAGCATAAAAGAGAGTAAGAGAGATTTGACAAAAGCAGAGATTACTACAGTAGAGAAAGCAGACAGTGAAAGCAGTGTAGTTGGGTGGGTGAAGGCAACATCAGCATGTGAGAACTTTTCCATATTATGACTTAAAGAACTGGGGAAATATTGTCGAACAAAATGTGATAATAAAACTAAAGCATGAAAGTAACTTTATTTGATGCTACATTTTGCAAATATATCATACTTCTTGAATACAAAGCATCTTAAAGCTTCATGGTTATCTACAATGAAATCAGCTATCTACTCTTGATGGTTTATTTAAACATTTTACTTTTGTTTGTGTTTCAGATATTTGAGATATTTGGTCCTGTTTTACATCCTTTTTATGTGTTAAGATTTAACAGCTCTGAGCATATCAAAGCAAAAGGTATTAATGTGCAAGATAGCATGTATTTTGCTCCATCAGTAGAGGACTTCACCCAGTATATATTTGCAGAGAAACTAAAACAGTGAGTATGACTTCTTTTCTAAGATGGTTATAATGTATTTTGAATGTAGATAAAAATATTGGATTAAAGTTTAGCTTTGAGTGAGAAACTGTAGGACTAAGCTTGACACTAAAATTTTCTTCTAAATACTCAACTATGTTGTAATAACAAGTTTGTGCTGTTTTGCCTTTCAGAACGGTTCAGAGTAGCTGTAAACTACAAACTTTTAAAGTGTTACAATTGCTAAAGTTTACCAGCTTCTTACTCAGTTCAATATATTAAGTGTTTTTTCTTTTCATGTTGCTGTTACCTAAAATATCATTGATATATCCTTCCTCCACGCTTCCAAACATGTGCACATGCAATGGGTTTGCAAGCTGTGTTGTTCTTCAGATTCTTGTTTAGTTTCATAAGTTAAATAAACTTGCTTGAATTCTGAACAAGTTTGTATCTATTTACTATTTTTATTTCATGTTACAAGTCAAAACTGAAATTTGATTATAAATAAATGTACAGTTGGAGTATAACAATTGTATATGAAAATTGCCTTCCGTAAATGAGGGATGGGGGAAAGAAGATCTAAGTGGCAATGTAGTAAGATACTTGGGAACTTCCCAGCAGTGCTTGTGTCTCCCAGTCTGCTGAGGAAGGTAGCAGTATGAATAGGACTTGTTGCTGTTTAAAAGGAAATGTATTCAAAGATACAGATTAAGAAGTAAAGCATAATAAATGACTGCTAGACATTAGTGTTCTAATTATTAATGAATAATTGTCTGAAATAGCCATAGGTTAAAAAACTTCAGTCATACAAGTGACTTATTCTCTGTTTATTAGGATTAGTTCTCATCTGACTTGCAAATTTTTTTCTGACTATAGCAAATGATATTGGTGTTTGCATTAATTGCAACTCTGTCAGTATTCATACTGAGTAAGTTTTTCTTTAGCCATGCCTGTATGGCGGAGGCCTGCAGGAGTTTTTTGTTATTTTTTTTTTTTTTTTTTTTTTTTTTGGGGGGTGTATGTGGTGTGTGTGTTCCTTTCCCATTACTGTGGAAGCAGAAGTCTTCCTTTCAGTCAAGACCAGAATAGATGACTTTTTCACTCTGCTGCTTGTTTGTTTTTCTGTAGCATTTTGATGCCAGCTGGTCTTTGATTGGTGCCATTAAACTTTGTTGCTTAGCACAGTAACTGCACAGACTTGAATCATCTGCTTGCTACATCAATAACTGCCATACTCAGCATCTGAGATGCCAGACTTATGTTTTAGTTCTCTTGCATGCTTTGCAAGTAGTTTTGGGAACTACTTGCCTTTTGGTAGTACTTCACTATCGTACGTGGTACAAAATTAACACTAGGTAATGACTTAATCAGCACAGCTGAACAGTGCATCAGGCATTGTTTTTTGCCCTGTATTAAAAATGAGCAGTGTGAATACATGTGAAATCTGATGTAAACCATAATTTTTGAATAATGGGACTTTAGTTACATTTCATTGAAACAATATTTTATTGCTGAGTTTTATCAGTAGAGTTTCTTAAGGTTTTGTGAGGCAATGGTACTGTTTCTTGAAGCTGCCTTTTCACAAAGTAGGTGTCACTGAAAAAGAATAAAGAATTTTCGTTTCTGACCTGTGCTGTAATGTCAATATAAAGAAACCAAGGTGCCATGGATAGTAGAAAAATTAAGCTTCAGTCAGTGTTTCACAGGAAGGCTTTTGGACCTAAGCATATTGTAAACTTGATGACCAGTGGGTTTTATTCTCTGCTTTTTATTAATTTGGCTTTGTGCACACCAGCTTGTGATGGTACTTCGAAAAAGAAAGGAATCAGGATTAAGATCTGAAAGAAACCTTAACTTTGAAGCATTTTCTGAAATCTGGAATGCAATCTGCTTGCATTGTACAAAGTTGCAGTGCTGTGAATAAGCCTATTATACTTTATAGCAAAATAGATGATAATGTAGTATAAAACTTGAATACAAAATACTTTTTTTGCTAAAAAATAGGTTTTTGTTGTATTGCCAGAAACACAAAGTAATTCTAAAGAAGCTCATGTGTTTTCATGATTCCTCCAAGTCAGCTTTTGTTAGACTTCCAGATCTTAGAGTATCTGAGATCAGAAATCAAAGAATTACTGTTTTGTGGTTTGGAAAAGATTATGAAATATCTCGCAGCATGGAAAGTGTTCTGTGTTTTGCTGAAATGGGAAAGGCTGCCTTGGGAGAGTGAGATAAGGTGCCTGAAGAACTTAGAAGGTTTAAATTTTTGCAGTCAGTAGTACTACATATTGCCTAATGACCACAGTTGTCAGAGTTTCTTGCATGCTCTGGTATTTGACAGGCCTGTATTGCACCAAAATAGCAAGATGAGAAGAAGAAACAAAGAACTTGGTTTAAAATAATAATAAAAAAAAGGTGTTAAGGTGTTACTTTCCATCTTTGCATAGGTAGAGGGTTTTTTGCAGCTGAGAAATTACTGATACAGAGCCTTCAACTTCCTTTCCTCTCTAATGTTTTCCTCTAATTGAACTTCAAAATGGCTTGCTTGCTAATACGATTTGCACATAATCACAAAGGTGGTGTTTTTTTATGGTTTTCTAGTGATACGTGGAGATCGAGCTTCAGTTTTATGGTGTGGGGTTGAGTCACAAAGTACCTCCAGATGACTTGATAGCATTCTCATGTGCAGCCTTTGACTAAGGACTTCTTCAGACCAGGCTACCTAAAGCTGATGGTTCTGTACTTTGATGTAGCTATTGCTGCTTGATTATTGCTGACTTAAATGAATACGTAAAATACCCCTTGGTTATTAGAGCACTGATTGACAACATTTCACATTGAACATGAAGTCTTAAACTATATGGTTCCATTTTGCAAGTAAGAATTTCTAGTATTGCATTATTTTATATAGTTTGTCTGCATAGATAAGGATTCTGTTTTAACATTTCAGACCAGAACATATTAAATTTGCAAGCAGTGTGGAAAAAACCTTCCACAAACTTTTAACAGCATAATTGAAATTTGTTCCTCAAATTTGTGCTAACAAAAAAAGATTACTTGATTTTTGTCAAAGTTCTTAGTGGTGGGTGAAATAAATGAAACCACTTTGGATTAATTTTGGTGCTTGTCTGGCAAGGTAATTGAGTTTTTGCTTCCTTAAATGTCTTTTTACCGTTTTTCTTAATTTTACATTTACAACAAAATAGAAGATGAAGCCTGTTTATCGAGCTAATACTGTCTTAATAGAATTGTAAGCCACACTTAGAGGTTTTTTGATTCTGGATTCATTTGCTGTAGTTATACTTAAGGCCTGTGTCCTACTAGACTATTTTATTGTCCTTTTTCACTGAAGGTGTGTTCTGAAACCAGAAGAATGAGAAAGCCTGTGACTGTAGTCAGCAGTTAGCGTAAGAAAGTTAACAACCTCAATTCAGATTCAAAGCAATTTATATTCAAAAGGCTGTGTTGAGAGAATATTGAGCAAAGCTTAATATTAGCTGTATGAAATGTACAGTCTTCACTCAAAGTAGGAAGATTTTTCAAGTGACATGTAGTGAAGTCTTAAGTTGATACATATATTAGTACTCAGAAATGACACTAAAAACAAATGTCTCTTAAAAAAAGGCAGGTCCTGCTGTAGGAGATCTGGTATCTTGAAGAAAGTGTTACCCTATTTGCTATAGTACAGTTCTTGAAAATTATTTCTAACCTGGAATATTGCTACAACATGACTCAGAGATGTGTTTCGTACCTCCTTACACCATCTTCATTCATCTTGATTGTCTAATTTGTGGTTTGTTTGGTTTTTTCTTTTTAGAGAAAAAGGTTCAGATGCATCTTGGAAGAATGACCAAGAGCCACCACCTGAGGTAACTATAGGTTTGGGGTTTTTTTGTTGTCTGTTCTTTTTGATTACACAAGATGTATGTAGAAAAATTTCTGTGCAGAGTAACTAGTTAGTAAGGTCATTTTTTTTTTATGCAGGCAGGAGTTGGATGAACCTCTTCACTGAAAAGAAGGTCATGCTTTTCTTGGGGGTCTCACAATCAGTATAGAGAGTACTACCTGTCTTTCTCTACTTGCTTTTTGTAGTTGGGAAAATGTCTGTCTTTATCTTCAGTTCCTCTGGTCCTTCAAGGTTATGTTTGGCAACCTGCAAGTTCAACTTTGAAGCAGTGCTTTATCTTGCCTAATAGTTTTGCTTCTGCTAGTGAATGTTTGTCCTTGCTGTTCTTTCGACTGCAGCTTTGTCTTGTACCTTGCAGAATCAATTGTTTGTCTTTAAAGGCCTGCTAGTACTTTGCAAATAGTACTACTTGGGTGTTTAAGCTGTCTGCTCTCTTAGATTAACTTGACAACTCCTCTTGCATTCTTCGAATGGCTTCTGAGTATGGTTTCCCTACTGTTTCCTATTATAAAACACTAGTTCACGAGAGGAGAGTTTCTTCCATACAAAGGCGGTAATACAGGATTGTATAGAAGTGAGAGCTTCTGATGACAACTGAGATTATTTACTCTAGGATCTGTAAACATTTCTTCAGTGACATCCAGGCTTCCTGGCCAGCACTCTTCAACTGCACTCTATGCACTCTAACTATTCTCTTCTTCAATAAAAATCACAAGGCTGGTAGTTTTATTGGGGTGTTTTCATGAGATTTGTTTTCTGACTCAGCACTTGAGGCACTTTTCCTTGCAAGTTTTACTTTAAGCATATCTTAGCCAAAACAGCTGAAGTTTCTAGAAGCCTTGTGTTTACCACAGTCTCCTAAAGAGGTCTATCTACATGGGGTTTTTTGGTGTTTGGGTTTTGTTTTGGTTTTGTTTTTTTTTTGTTTTGTTTGGGGTTTTTGTTTTTGTTTTTTTTTTTTTAGTGTTCTAAACAAATTTTTAGGATAGACTAGACTATTTCAGTTGAAAGGTACCTACAGCAGTCATTTAGTCCAACTTCTGCTGTAGGAAGCTTAAAATTGGTGATGGCAAGGATGTGTAAACATGATTGCTGTTTGACGCCTTTGTTTCTGTGTCTGTTCTGACTTTGTGATACATCTGTGCCCTGTTTTGGAAAAAACACCGCATTTAACAACTTGTGATCCTTAATTAGAATAATCCTTGGATAGTTCTAGCAGTTAGAGTTTACACTAAGATATCCAAACTGTGACAGCTGGTGAGCTGATACAAAGTAGCTTTTGCTGTGAAGGTAATAGCTGTTGACAAGGGTGCAGATTAAATTTTATGCTACTGATGCTTGAAATTGTCTCTTACAGCCAGACTCTTTTTTTAATGCCTTCAGCTGGCAGCTGATTCTATAACTTTTCTGGGCAGCCTGCATGATAAACTGCATGCAATTGCTGGAGTCAGTACTTTTTGTGATGTTGCGAAGCTTTATTTTTTCACGAATGTTAAATTAATCCATGCTAGGCCTTTTATTCTTCCCCTTTAAGGTATATGGCAGATGTTTAATTTCTGATAGGCTTGTAATTAGCCCAGTTTAACTGGAGACTCAGTGATATGATGTCTCATGTCCTTGTCTTTGGGGTCACAGGATGTATGTGCTGTGTGCTGAAAGGCTACCAGGAGCAGATAACTGCAATTTCTCTGTGAAGTGGCTGTTATAGAAAGTTACATAGAAATTAGCTAGCAATAGAAGGTACCTGTTGATTTTTATTTCAGCTCTACTGGAGGATGGCTTATTGTGAAGTCCTTTAGAAAAAGCAGGAGTTAGTGAAACATTTTACTTCATGGCATGTATCATCTTCTATTCCTTGTGTCTTTTTTTCCTTTTTTTGAGTTAAAATGTAACCCAATTATGTAGAAGAGGAAATGTTTTCAGAATTAACTTTATGTGGCTTTTTTAGCACTGCTTTAGTGCAGTGGTTTTGAGATCCTTACTCTGTATATACTATAGAGATACATCAGTAAGCAGCAAAACCCTTCCTTTCAAAATTGGGAAGGGGAGGGTGACCCCTTTAAGTTATGTGAGCAAGCTATTTTTTGGGGAACTAGTTAATGCTGACAGATTTATTTCCTGCTACTAACAACTTTCCTCATTCTAAATGTAAGCTAGGATTCAAAAGGTAGCAAAACCTTGTGTAACAGTAACAAAATGTTGCAGTGACCTGAATCTACTGTGGATGACAGCATTCTCCAAAACTGAAAATTCCTTTTGAATAACATTGTTGTTTCAAGTTTAATGGCAACAGTGTTATTAAATATACTACAGAAAATTCCATTGTAGTGACAGTTCTAGACTAGAGATTTTTTTTATTTTTTTAAATGCAGTTTGACCATTCTAAGTATTGGTTACCAAATTATTTTTAACTGCTTTAAAAATCCATGGTTTAATTTACTTGCTCTGCAGTTTGGCCTTCAAAAGATTTTTCTTGGCAATAACTAGCCAGTTCCCTCAGATGTCCAATTTTTTTCTTACTGACATACAAGCAATCAAAAATTTGTGTTTGGTACTTGAATGTTGCAGGTTTTTTGTTTTGTTTTTTGTTTTTTTTTTTTAAATTAGAAGAAATAACTGAGCATTGTATAATTGTCTTATGAGAAATCTGTGGAGTGTTAATACTTTTCTTGTGCTGAGAAGCCAGCTGAATGCACTATGGCTCTTTGAATGCAAAGTAGTAAAGTGCAGCTTTAATAATCTTCTAAGATGACTGCAGCATAGATTGTTTTCTAAATAATAATTTATTGCTAGAGCTGAAGTTCTCTACAGTCTTTATATGTCTTTGTTTCACCACCCCTCTCTTTCTTCCCCCTCACTAATTTTTCTTTTTTAACCAGGCCTTGGATTTCAGTGATGATGAAAAAGAAAGAGAGGCAAAGCAGAAGAAGAAGAAGCCTCAAAGTCAAGGAAGGAAGAAACTCAAATCGGAAACAAGTATGTCAAGCGAGTGAATGCTATGGGAGAATTTTTTATCTGTTAAACTGAGTTTGAAATGCACAGTGATACTTATCTTAGTGATTGGGCTTTCATACAGTTAATCAGTATTTTTGTGTTTTTCAAACCTATATTCATGAATATGTGACTATATTCCTTTTCTTCTTTTGTTAAAGGAAAATGGGTTTGGTTTTGGTGTGTGTGTATATATATATTTTATTTTTTTTTTAATTGAACTGTGGAAGGGAAGTAGTATAGGAGCAGGACACTTGTCAGCAGTATCAGCTGACACAGTGAGGAGAACAGATGCCATGTTTTGGAATTTAGAGCTTGATTATTGCAGGGGTTATTGGGGTCCAAGTTCAGATTAATCCTTTGAGTGCAGGGAAATGATAGAGGAAGGCCATATGCAATATTTGGAAGCCTTTTTTTTTTTTTTTCCAGTCAGGGAGAAGACACAAGACAAAAGTCTTACTCCTCTGAAAATGAAGCTCCTGCCTATGGCATATAAATACTTCTTTAAAATAACTGTTACTTGTGTAGTCTACTGAGAACCTCTGTTGACCTAACACAATCATTAGCTAAACAAACCTATAGTAGTTTATTAAACTATGTCTAGTTTTTCATATAGTTGTCTTCACCTTCCTTTCTCCTGCTATTGACAGATCTGTTCCAGGTGTATGCTTGCAGCTGTTCTGTTTGCAATAACTGATTTTCCTATCTGTCTTCTCTTATCTCTTTCTACTGACAAAATGCATTTTGCTTTTTGGTTGGCATTTTGGTTGAATAATTTAAATCCCATCCGTCTTTCTCTGTTCTCACTGATCTGCTTCTGTTGCATGCTTTTCCTAACATACCCTTTAAATACTACCGACTCTCATACCCTCTTCCTCTTCTAATGGTCACATACCAGGTTCCCCCCATTGAATTTCTTGGACTGACTCCCGTGAGTTTCCTGCTTTTCCTTTGTAAAGCTGCTAGACATTATGCCCAGCTGAAACCCTTTTCTCATCGTCTGTGAAGTTGGTTAACCCTTTTACTCTGTGTACTGTACATTCCTCCCTTGTGCCCTTTTAAAGAAAGCTGCGATCTTTTGTGGCCTGGCTTTGCGCTGTGGTTTTGACTGTTTTCATTTAAGAGAAAGATCTGAGTTGTACCATACTTTAACTTCATTGCTGACTGTTATTTTCTCTCCTGGTTTCTGCAAACCTAGCATATGGCATGTTTTCCACCATATCTTCATTCTGCCAGCTTATTGTAGACCTGCCTTTGCCTAGGGTTTGCTGAAGCTGTTGCTGTGCTATATTTCACAACAGAACACAGAAGAACTTTCTCAATATGTCAGAGGAGTATGGATTATGATTTGCTGTATTTTTCTGAAATAACGAGGTATAAATTGACATTGTATTCAATTTAGTTTGGCTATGAAATTCAACAACAAGGGTGTCTGGCAAACTGAGGCACAAACAGTCACAGCTGGGGTTTTGCTTGGTTGTATCTTCATAAAACTCTTGAGTATATTAAAATTGACTCATTGTTAGTCTTTCTGATAGAAGAAGAAAGAACAAAAATATTCACTCAAAGGACTTTTAGGTCCTAATCCACCATAAAAATGAGTAGGAATTCCAGTATCCAGCTAATTTTCCAGACTTAGCTTTTTAAAGGTGCAGTTATTTCTGTGTAGTTTATTGCTAAGGTTTAGGTCCACACAGATTCTGAAAATTCATTGATTTTTAAATGGTGTTATGTTCCTAAATATCTTTTTACTTCTAGCCCTAAAATCCTTTAAAGAACATAGAATCATAGAACAGTTAGGGTTGGAAAGGACCTTAGTTCCAACACCCCTGCCCTGGGCAGGGAAGCTTCACACTAGAGCATGTTGCCCAAGAAACTGTCCAACCTGACCTTGAACACTGCCAGAGATGAAGCATTTACCACTTCTCTGGGCAACCCATTCCAGTGCCTCACCACCCTCACAATAAAGAACTTATTTCTTGCATCTAACCTGAACTTCCCCTGTTTAAGTTTAAACCTATTACTCCTTGTCCTATTGCTATAGTCCCTGTTTTCAGTTTAAATTCTACAGCATTTTGAATATCTTAGCAGCTTTTTGGAATATTTTTAATACTTTGATGCGCTTAATTTTATAGCACTTATCCCATTAGTACTCTTACAGTATTTATATAAAGTGGCAGTACATCTGTTTTGAACTTAAAATATATGCTTATAGTGACCTGTGCAGGGAAAAATTCATGTTAGAAAGATGAATGCTGAAAGCTAATTGGCTAAAAGTACAGGCTGCCTTTTTTCTGATAGAGTAAGTTAATTTTATTAATTTGAGTTTGAATAATTTCTTGTGTCCTCTGTCTGTGCTGTAGTACCAACTCAGGTTTGAAAGCTGTATACCACTAGTGCAATGTAGTGTTGATTTATCTTCAGTTTTAAAATGTTTTGCTTTTAAACCAAAGCTTCCAAAATACTCAACAGTTTGCCTTCCGAAATACTCACAGTTTGAGTGTTCCTGTGATTCATTAGTAGAAATGAAAATGCCTGGAGGGGAAGAACGTGAAATTTCTTTTTTAATGACTGAATTTGCAACCCTCAGGATCATCCTTTGTATAACACTAATAAATCAAGATAAGTTCCTGAACAGTAGAGTTGCCATTATTATTTGTTTCTTATGTATTATTTGACAGTATTATTTAAGATTACTGTGCAAATTTCCTTGTTTTCAGTTTTAAAGATTTGTAAGGACTAAACTTAACCTTTACAAAGTAATATTAAAAAAGTGTGTGTGTGTTTTTGTTTTGCTTTTAAGGTGAGAATAAAGGACTTCATCAGCCAATGCAACAGCCTGCTTCAAGTTACTCAAGGGGGTATCGTGGCAGAGGGTTCTCCAGGGATCCATTTCCTCCTCCATCAGGCCCTCCAGGATTTTTGAGACCACAAGTAAGACTGCCGCAGCAGTACTCTTCAGACAACAGAACACATGAGCAATCTCCAGTGTTTCCTCATAGAAAAGAAAATCCAGTGATGCAGCAGTACCCCTTTCCTCCTCCAGTTTTTGGTTCTGTTAACGATATGCATCAATTCCACCTTCCACCTTCAAACCTGAATATGATTTGGACAGGCCCAAATATGTACAACTCATCATACCCATTTTTACCGCCTCCACCACCGCCACCTCCACCTCCCCCAGATAGCCACCCTGCTCAGTTCAGGCCTTACTAAGTTTCCATGAATGTGCATATGGAGCGTTGCAGTTTAAAGGGAGGAAAAACAGCCTGTGAAAACTATATTCCCTTATTTTAGAGATGCTTTGTTTTTCTGCAACAGTGGACAAATACAGAGTTTGATGCTTTGCGAGGCATCGATAGAAACCTTTTTTTCTTTTTTATATATGTTTTCTGTTTCAAAAAAACTATGATAAAAATTACTGACTATTAAGTAATAGTTTATTTTTCTAAGATCTGCTAGTTTGAGATGATAAATAAACATTTTTGGAGACTGGTATGTAGTGGTGGAATTCTTATTTTGTAAAAAAAATTAGGAGTTTATGTAGGTGAGGATATGTCACATAAATGGTACTTAAATATCTTTATAGTGGTTGTATGTTGCTATGCTGAACTATTTTTCTCAGTTTTTGCAAATTTTGAAATCTCCATGCATGGAAACTGAAATCCTGACACTTAAATTTTGAGCTAGGTGTGCCACTTTTTGTATAAGGTATAAATTCCTGTTATCCAACTTCTAATTTTTCATTAATTTTATATTAACTAAAAGACTGAGGGTGTGTAGTTCTGGTTTGTTTGGGTTTTTTTGGTGTTTTGTTGTTTTGGGTTTTTTTAATAGGTAAGGTAGCTGTTCAGAATTTGGTCCAGCATCTGAATTAGTCTGTCAGATTTAGTGTCCTACAGTAGCTCTAGAAGTTCAACTTATTGATGAGATGTTTTGCAATTAATTCAGGATGTAAAACTGTATGGTAACTTCTCTAGCTTGTTATTACTCCTAGTGCAGAAATGCCCATAGATATATAGAGTAAGTAGTCAGCCTTTTTAGGAAGTTATCAGACCTGTTGGGGGAGAAGATCTGCCATTTCAGAACTCCCTTGGTTAAATTTTTAACCTGAATGCAGATAGTAGTAGATTGCTATTTGATTGTCTTTGCAGTCAAAACTGTCTCTTGTGAAATTAGGAGGTTGTCAACCAAAGACAGCCTGCTACAATCTCCACTTGTACAGAGGGTCAGACCTACAACTGCATTTCTAGGATTTGTGGAAGCAATGGAAATCCTTACACTGCATGAAGACTTTTTAAAGGTGTGCAAGTAATAAGGTTGTATAGAGCTCAGATTTTGTGATGTACACAAGAAGTTTCAAATTGCTACTGTTCAGTGGTCCAAGATGAATCAGACTGGAGAAAAAATGGCATGTCTTATCTTCCCTGCGGAGTAACTTCACCTGTGAATTCTTTTATGTTCCTTCAGTTAACCCACCTAATTCACTACTTGTGTCTGAATACTGACTGTTTTTAATAAAAAAGAATGTGTTTGCTGTAGGAATACTATGTTAGAATGTTTATTAATTTTCTCTCTCTTTTTTTTTTTTTACTGAATTGTAAGGATTCAGGATTTACGAAATTATGGGAGGTTAGAACTTTACTAAAGTTTGCTTTCATTGAGTGAGATATACAGATGGTTGAGAAGCCTGTAAACAGCCTCAAGAGAGTGTTTCTTATTTTGTTACTCTTTCCTTTCAAAGGTGAGTAAAGTAATGTCAACATCAGAAAAACTTTGAATCCAGGACAGATGTGACTTCAGAGGTGACTCCCACCAGCCCTCTGTGCCAAAAGTAGCAGGGATTGCTAGGCTCTGGACTGTGATGGGTCAGATGCGAGTCTTCAGTAAAGTGGTATTTTCTTGTAGGCCAGTATTTCTCTATGACTCATATGATGTCTGTTCTCAGATTCAGCCTGAAGAGCTGTAATATAAAGTCCTGGCAATTCTGTAACATTTTTAGTTATTCCCCCATGGGATTTTACATTTCTTCATGGGCTGCTTTCCAGAGAAAGCTTAAGGCATGGAATGAGTGAAAAGACAGAGAGAGTAGAGACTCCAGGAAAAGCAGAGGCTTAGGGAAAAGGTTGGCTATAATTTCTCGAAAGGATGAGGTTTATAAATAGAAGTATGAATGCAGTAAACTATTGGACTGTATAAATGACTGTAACTATGGTAACATGGGAAAATGAAAATTATAATCACATACTTGAAAACAGTCCTCTTAAATTTGTAAACAAATTTAAGTACCAGCATTGGTACTTTTGCTGCCTTTAAGCTCCAGTTTGGACAAGAGTCAGCAGTGAGAAGGGGCTGAACTTTTCCTGGAGGCAACAGCAAAAGGGCTAACAAGTTTCTTAAAGGAAAATTCTGACAAGTGCTGTGGAGAGAGGGGGGATCTCCCACTGCCACAGGTTGCTCAGAGAAATGGTAGAATCCACAGTCTTAGAGGGATTCAGAAGCTGGCTTTGGACAAGGGCCTGTGTGATGTAATATCCAATTTAGTCTTGCTTTGAATAGAGAGGTGGACCAGGCAGTCTCTGAAAGCCATCCCAGCCTTAACTATTCTTGTCATTGCTGTCGTTCTTCTGTAGTTCTGTCTTCCCATCAGAGACGTTTTGTCTCTAGATGTTAAAAGGTATGAATATCCTAGCCTGAATTACTGGTGTTCAGGAAGCCTTGCTTTTCATTTGTGCTATTGTGCTTTTTCATTATCCTACGGATTTTTATATATAAGATATCCATGCTGTGCTAAAAGTTGGGCTTGCTGTGGGAGATAATGACTGCTTCCATTTCACTGGATGAAAGAAGATTTAAGAATTGTTCCTTTATTAGTTGTTTGGGGACTAATGCTAATGAAATTTTCAGTTGCATTCTTTGTCCCTTGGGCAGTAAAACATTTTGTATTGTAAAATTTCTTTTGAGAATAATGTAAAAGTTTTTTTAAAACCCAACAAAACACAAACTGAAAAAAGACCTGAGAAGTATTTTTAACAAATGTTCTTTAAAGAAGGGATTTTTTGCCTTTGTTGGAGACCTTTTGAATCACTTTGGGCACTCATGCCAGGATGTATATTGGTGCTACACAGAGGAAAACTAGAAATAAGCAGGGGGGTTGTAGGTTATATTTAGCAATTTCAGGTTCTGTTTTCTATTTCTTTGCAAGTTAAAGCTACAGTCTTGTATAGTGAAATTAGTGGTGGGCATAGTCTGACTTAAAGGATTGCTGGATCTGCACAGAACAGTTAGTAATAGAATTTGCTGTGATGACGAGTGAAAATACAGAAAACGTTGTCAAGAATGACAAGGGAAATAAAATGTATTACGGTAGGCATAGCACCAGGTTTTTACAGACCAGCTTACCTTTCAGGGCAAATACATAATTTTGGGAAGCATGAGTACTGTTCTTTCTTTCTCAGTCACTTGAAAATTTATTCAGCATTATTGAATGTGGTGTTGTCTTTGATTGCTGTGTGTGGATGAAATCTGTGGTAGCTATGGAAGAATATTGTTGTTGGTTTTCCTGTGAATCTGGTGCACTTATTTTTTTAGGTAATAATTTGTAAAAACACTGTATTTTCTGTAGACTTCTGATGTCTAAAATAGATGGAAATTATGCATAATGCCTGCCATTGACTAGCATGAAGCCAGTCACCTATAGATAGAGGTGAGCAACTGTTACATGCTCTACCTTTGAACTTGGAAAACAAGATTTTCTCTCTCTGACACCTGAGTAGTGTGTGTATACATGTATAAAATAACTTGCTTCACCAAGTGCTGAAACAAATAGGGGAGTGATGATGGTTGTGAAGCATCTAAATTTGTTCATACCAAGTCTTAAAGGCTATTATTTGCATTATGTTCTAAACAGGAAAATTTCACTGCAGGTTTCCTACTGTGGAAAGTAGGAAACAGTCTTAGTCATCAAGAATGAATCTCAGACTAAGCTGTCATGGAGGTCTGTCTTGTGGAAGAAGTGGTACAGGTAAGATTTTCTTTAAAGAGAATAAAAATGTTATTACCTATATTCATTTAATAGCCTTTACTCAATTTTTAATATTAGGTGATCTTAAACCTGCTTTGTGAGGTTTGCATGCACGTGAGGTCTGAAAAAAGTATTTTCTTCAAGAAAGAACCAAAGGAAAGAGTACATCTTGTGAGTTTTCAGTTGAATCCTTTAGTTGAATGTTTGATCAAAAGCAGACTTGCTACAGTATTCAGTTTGCAAGTGGAAAGTACACCTAGACTATGAAGACCTCTTTAACCTTTATACTGGGTTTTCACTTGATTCCACAATTCCTAGGTTGTCCTGTGTAACAGTATGGCCACTTATATACAAGCAAACTTTATTAAAGGTTCAAGAAGGAGGCATTTTTGTGAGCATTTTTCTTAGAAATTTGGGTCGGCATTTAGTTTCCTGGTTGCACTCTTCATCATGATGCATTTATTTCACAGATAGTTGTACATCTATTTATTGTACCTTGCAGTCCTCAGTCTCCACAGTTTTAATTTGCCACATAGCGATGTACTTGATCTTTAGTCTTGGTCAACACATCCTGCAAGTTAGAGAACACATGGATACGTTGCATTTTTCTCCTATGTGGTGGCACTCCACAGTGCTTATCTCTTCTGTTGTATCAAAAAGTGGTGCAGTACTATTTGCATTGATATTCTGCTTTTGATGGCTGGCTGTGTTTTCCCTTGCAGTGTATGTGATCTATACCCATTGTGTTCTCTTCCTATTGACAGTATATATTTTTTCCCTTACTAAAGTTCTGACCCTGAAATTGCTCAGGCATTAAAGATTTCCATCCCTCCACCATCAGGTGAGGAAGTGGTGATACTGGATTTAGAGATGGAAACAATTACTGTACTGTAGAGGAAAATACAGCCTTGGGTAAATTACTTGGGTTTTGATGCTCTTTTGTCTGTGAGTAGAGAATCCTATTTGCTATTTGTTTTACTATTCCAATATAGTGAAAAAAGAAAAGACTTGGTGACCTTAGCAGGAAAGGGATTATCATCCCTCAAAATTGAGGTGCCTGTGTGTGACAGCAAAGGACATTCGTTACATTGTCACCATCAGTCGCTGAAGCAAATCAATTATTTCTTCAACTGGAGAAGCAGGGCGGGGGGTAAACAGCAAAAAGCTATGGCATTTATCAAGGTCTGGATTC